GAAGCATCCAGGATGAGAGAGTCTGAGTAGAACTGGAAAGCTAAGGAATGGTCCTGATGAATAATTTCTTAAAGATGGTATCAAATATTTAAGTAACTTGTTTGTAATGTAACCTCCCTATCACATAGCTACATCAGCGTCATCCTCCTGTAATCATTCAACAATCTGTGGTATCTCTGATTTATAGGGTTTTTCTCTTAGAAGCATCCAGGATGAGAGAGTCTGAGTAGAACTGGAAAGCTAAGGAATGGTCCTGATGAATAATTTCTTAAAGATGGTATCAAATATTTAAGTAACTTGTTTGTAATGTAACCTCCCTATCACATAGCTACATCAGCGTCATCCTCCTGTAATCATTCAACAATCTGTGGTATCTCTGATTTATAGGGTTTTTCTCTTATTTCAGTCTTTGTTTTAGGTTTCACTTCCTGTGTATGTGGTTGTCATAACAGGGTTATAAACATTTATTTTAAAAATAAAAACTTGTGCTCACAAAAATTTGAACCCAGGCATTGTTTGAGGGTAGAGCTTTTAGGGTTGCCAGGTGTCCGGTTTTGAACCGGACAGTCCAGTATTTGACCTTTCTGTTCAGGAAACAAATTGAGAAAATATAAATGTCCAGTATTTTCTAAATACAGGCAGTCCCCGAGTTATGCGGATCCGACTTAAGTTGGATCCGCAGTTACGAACGGGGTTTTTCTCGCCCCGGAGGACGGGAGCAATGGGACGCCCAGATGCGCCACGGTCCCGCCGCCTGTGTCCTCCGGGGCGAGAAAAGCTGCTCCGCGTCTCCCTGGTCTGCTGGGGGGGGGCACAGCTAGTGCGCCTCCCCCCCCCCCTGCATATTTGCTTGCTAAGTATAAGTGTCTAATGTCTGCAAGCATAAAAAAATTAAACAAACCTGTGACTTTAATAGCATTTAATAGGAGTACCTGATTTTGACATGTCTTTCTAGCTGATGTACCAAGACATGTTCTTGTGAGCAGATGCTGTTCCTAAATTGCTCTCAGATATAGTCTACATTTTTGTAAAATCCAAACTCATCCCCTTTTTAGGGTTTGACTTATTAACAGCTATGCAACAATATGTTCAGTTTAAACATCTCTCAAGGGTTTGGCATTAATTCTTCTTTGAATGATGTCCCTTTTGATGCTCCTAGATATGAGTGGCAGCACCACCTCAAATTCTTTAGTTGTCAATGTGGAACACAAAAAAGGATGCCATTACCAACTTCTATCCACCCCGACTGAGATTGGAAATAATTAAATTTATTTGGATGGAAAGCCTATTCATCCAGTATGCTCTAATTTTACATATCCAATTATGAGGCGCTCGTGGTGTACAACAACCTTAACTATTCTAAAAGGGTGTGTCTAAACTATAGGGTTTTGTCGACAAAAATGGACTTGTTGACAAAACTATACCTGCGTCTACACTACTGCCGAGTTCTGTTGACATAATGTCAACAGAACTCAGCAGTTTTGTCGACGGCGGTAAACCTCATTCTATGAGGAATAATGTCTTCTGTTGACAGAGTTCTGTTGACAGAAGGTGTTATTGCATCTACACTGTCCTTTGCATCTACACTCTCATGTGGACAAAGCGGCTTGCTTTGTCGACAGAACTGGATGTAGTTTAGACGCTCTTTGTCAACAGAAGCTTTGTCGACAGTATCTATCAACAAAATTTCTGTTGACAAAAGCCTGTAGTCTAGACGTACCCTCAGAGTTTTAGGGAAACAAAGGGTTTACATTTCTCACGCATTGTGGTGGTAAGTCAGTACATCTTACCAGAAAACTCTGAAGTACAGAAGCGACTGGAGGGAGTGAAGTCACTTCTAGAGAATTTGTTTCCTCACGTTCACGCTAGGAAAAATTCTTCAAATTTTAATAGTGTGATTGGCATTTTAAGCTACATTGGTCACAACAAGCCATCAAATGTTTTGTATGGAGGATGAGAGACAGGAGTGCTGTCTTTGATTAAATTTAACTTTGTATCTCCTATTGTCTGACTTTTTTTTTTTTTTTTTTTTAAACAGGCGTTGAGGGCTCCCAGAGCTTTGGATAGGTTTCCTTTGGTGTGGCGTTTACATGAGACTGAAATCTAATAAATAAGTGAATACTTGCAGAGATAATAGTGTATAACAGCATGTAATTATGCATGTTTTCCATCTTGTTTTGTAATGTTTTTCAGCAAATGGGAGGTGGTGGGTGGACGGGTAATGTTTAATTTGCTTTGGAAACCTGCCAGACATGGAAAACCTCTGCGGGATAACATTGTAGCAGCTTCCCGTTGTAGTGGGCTACTTAGCTTCAGTCCGTTTTACACACGAGCCCCAAAACTTTGCTGGAGACAGAACTGTTTACGGTGACTTCAGTCCCACTGGGGCAGCTTTATAAGTGCATAGCAAGGAGAATGGTAACCCCAAAACAAAGTGCATATACTGTTCAGAGGAGAATGTAATTTTTTTTTGTTCAGTAATGCCTATTGCAAGCAAAATCCCACACGCTATTTGAAAACAACCAGGAATTCTTGGCTTTCCCATTTTCCAGTCCCATGCACAGCATTAGCCTGAACATTTAAGAATATTATTAAATCAAGATAATAGCTTTCACCTGAAATTTCTTAAATCTATCTCTAATGGGGATGACAGTATAACTTTCACGGGGGTGGGGGAGCTTACTCAGTATCTACCTATTGGGTATGTCTACACTATTGTTAAGCAAAGTACAGTAATAGTTGTCAGTAAACTCTCCTGAACCATTACACATATGTACCTATAACACTGGACTCAGCTCAATCACTGGGGTATCCCACTGTCCCCTAGGCTGGACAAGGACTGCCCCTCCAAGACACCACTTTATATACAGGTACAAACAAGTTATACATCACTTCTGACGTGTCAGGTTGCCACACTATGACATGACTTAGATACCACCCATCACCCTGCACCTCGCAGTTTGATTAGAATATCTCTATCCATCATGCTGTCATTTTAGACCCTTTCCTGAACCTGGGTTGGTATCTGCGGGGGGTGTTGGTACTAAGGTATTTATTTATTTATTTTTAAACAAGCTGGTGGTACCATCCTTTTGGAATGTGCTTTCCACTTATGACCAGTACTAATTACACCTGGACCTATTACCAATTAGTGTTTTGCACTGTCAGCTCTGTTTGTGCCAAGTTCTGTGAGCAGGGGCCTGCCTCTTGCTTGCAGCTTAGCTTTGCTTTATATTAGCCAAGTTTTGTCCATTGTTAGCTAGGCCTCGAGCCTCAAACCAGGCCTGTGCTAAATGAACTTTTGTTTCAGGCCCTCATCTTACTACAAACACTTGTTTTTGCTAACGAGATTGCAGAATCAGCACTGTTATAGTGCATGCGCACACAAGTTTTGTTTATCTATAAAATCTGTATTTCATATATAAGCTAATCTCTGAATGGCTGAAGCACCCATTTCCGTTCTGCTATGGCTGACTCACAAAGAAGCTTTGTAGTAACAGCATAATGAACAGCGATCACTCTGCTGTTAAAGGCAATAGGGCACAATGGTAGTATTTGTATATTGTGAATGGTATACAAATGATTAAGTTGGCACTGAAAAAATCGAGTATGTTAGTGGCAAGTTCAAGCCCTAGCAATGCCAACTTAGTCATTCATCTATTTAAGGGAGATAATTCAAGTTCTGGATACAACCACACACAATAAATTTACTTACAAGATTTTTTTTTCAAGTGTGGTGGATTTTCCTTCCTTTGAAGTTTTTACATCCAGCCTGGCTGGCTGTCATTCAAGAAGCTATGCTTCCCTTCATCCAGAAGTTGTGGTCTGTGTTATGCACCAGGTTAGTCTAAATGATCATAGTTAGGGGTCTCCTTAAATTGCCGCAAAACCACAGTTTGAGAGTTACTGCCCTATAGAGCAGGGTAAAAATACACAGAAGACCCAGATTTCATGGGGGAGCCTAGATTTCAT